ATCCTGTCCTTCACACTGTGTCCTCCTACACCCAACCCAAGACCCCACTTAAACCTTGTCACCTCCCATCCCTCTGTTGTCCTAGTCTGTGTGTCACACCGTTTATACTTTCATCAAGTCTTTCCCATCCGCCATGGGCCCATAATCAGTTCCACGTTTGCACAGACATTCCAAATTCCATAACAAATCTCAAAATTCTCAGCTCTGACCTTCATATAAGGGGGAGCGGGCAACATTAGTCTTCCTGAGCCTTAGCCAACTCACTTGGTGTAATGCTTTCCAGATTGATGGAATGGATTCGTGAGCACCTGTGTTAGCTCTTCTATATGTTTGGAAGGATTTACAACGACACCATCTGGGCCTTGCTTTATTGGGAAGCATTCTCCTACTGTTCCAATCTCATTCCAAGTTTTGGATCAGTTCAAGTTGCTCATATTTTCTCTCATGATTTTATAAAAAAATTAAATACATACATAGAATATGTTTTTATCAAATACACTCATTTTCTCGCACTCCCCTACTCTCCATACAATGTTTCCCTGCCAACTTGACATGCTCTTTTCTTTTTATGCTCTCTGATATAACAGACTAAGAAATCATGTAAATAATACCATTCACAATAGTCTCACAACATTCAAAATACCTTGTCATAAATCTAACCAAGGAAGCAAAAGACTCACACAGTGAAAACTTTAAGACAGTGAAGAAGAAAATAAGATGATACCTAAACATGGAAATAACTTCTATGCTCATGGTGGGATTAATAATATGAAAATGATCATCTTACCCCAAGAAATCTACAGACTCAGTACAGTTCCCATCAAAATTCCGTGAAAGTGTTCTTGGCAGAAATTGAAAAAAAAAAAAACCTTAAATTTCATTTGGAGACACAAAACACCCAGAGTTATTAAAGTAATCATGAGCAATACAAAAACTGCCGGAGATTTCACTATCCCAGATTTTGAATTATACTACACAGCTATAGTAATAAAACTAGCAAGGGACTTGCATGATTGTAGACACACTGATTAATGAAATAGAAATCAGGACCCACATATAAGCCCACACTCCTATAGCCACCTGTCTTTCAAAAAATACTTCTAATTAAAATTATTTTATGCGTATGTATTTTGCTTGCACCACCTTCATGTATGGTACCTTTGGAGACCAGAAGAAGGCATCGTTTTTCATATAATTGTAGTTACAGACATCTGTGAGCCACCTTGAGGGCTATGGGATTTGAACCGAGGTCCTCTGAAAGAGCAGTCAGTGTTCTTAACTGCTGATCCATCTCTCCATCCCAAGCTACCTGGTTTTTGACAAAGAGGCCAGGAATGCACACTTAAGAAAAGAGAGCATCTTCAAAAACATGGTGCTTGTCAAATTATAGAGCTATGCATTGAAGAATGAAACCAGATCCTTATCTCTCACTCTCCACAAAACTAAAATCTCCAAATGGATCAATGACTCCAGGATAAGACCTGATACCTTTAACTTGATAAAGGATAAAATAGGGAATATGTTAGGCTAAACATACTGTCACTGATAGCAGAGAGGTTAAGAACAACAACTAGTAGATGGGACCTACTAAAAATAAAAGCTTCTGTACAGGAAAGGACACCAACATTTAGGAGATGGGGCAGCCTACAGAACATAAAAACATCCTTACCAGCTACACATATGACAAATATGTGTATCCAGAATAGGCAAAGAAACAAGAAAAAAAAAACCAAAAGCTTCAAGGAAATAATTCAATTTATAATTGTGATGTTTGAATTTATTGCAATGTGAGTTTTCAAATTATTCCTAATTCATTTGTATCTATTTTCAAACAAAATTCTATTGTAATTTCAGTAATTTTTGTTTGCTTGATTTTGTCCTTTCATTAGTTTGCATTAAGATTTGCCAATCTTATCTATTGTCCCATGGAGCCAATTCTGTTTTGTTTGTGTTTTTTTAGATTTATTTATTTAGTATTTATACAGTGATTTATCTGCATGCCTGCATGCCAGAAGAAGGCATCAGATCTTATTAAAGATGGTTGTGAATCACCATGTGGTTGCTGGGAATTGAACTCAGGACCTTAGGACCTCTGGAAGAACAGACAGTGCTCTTAACCTCCGAGCCATCTCTCCAGCTCCCTGATTCTGTTTTTGATGATTCTTTGTATCATTCTTTTGTTTCAGTTTCATCAAACTTTTTCCATCCTTTATTTCAGATAGGAGAGAGAGAGAGAGAGAGCGAGAGAGAGAGAGAGAGAGAGAGAGAGAAAGGGACGAGGGAGAGAGAGACTTGTTTAAGTCACCCAATAGTGTAATTAAGCTACTTATTCAAAACCTCTATAACTTTTGTGAAAAACAGAGTAAACATGGGGTAAAAGAGAACGTACATTAGATAACAGTCATGAGTAACCTATGTGTCTGAGAGAGTGTGTCAGGCATCGTGACTGGCTCTGTTTGATCATGAGCTGAGTTCATGGTTTAGATGATGTATGACAGATAATTGACCAGGGCTAACAGGCCATTCTTCAGTGACAGGGTCATAAGGGGAAGGTGACAAGGAGATGAGAATATAAAGAATATAGAAAATCTTGGGTCTGTTGGCCTTGCATAAATAAGCTATGTCTTATGCCAAACAAGTTTGTTAAGAAGTAGGGTATCATATATTATTTGGAGGGGGGAAATGGGACAGAGTCTGCAGGTCTGATAACTTCAGATGCTTCATGGGGTAAAAACAAGTTCCAAGATCTGATACTTAACTCCTTTGAGGCCCTGACCCCTAACCTCAGACAAGACTTTTCCACATGTGCTCCTGAGAAAGAACCCAGAGCTAGGTTCCTTTTGTCCTTTCATTAGGGTATCTGAGAAAGCTTTGGAGAGATCTGGTTCTCAACAGGTGATGCTAAAGCATTTTGTGTTTGGGGGACACAGAAGGCTGGACAGATGGGCTGAGACACTGAATCTGGAGGAGCTTGTTCAGACAGGAGCAGATGGAGCTTAGTCTTGGGGGGACACCTTAGGAGCATCAGTTGTAATTCCAAAAGAAGACAGAAGAGAGCATAAGATCCCCTAGAACTGGAGTTAGAGATGGTTGCCAACCACCATGTGGGTCCTGGGGTTTGAGACCAGAGGAAGCAACTCTAAGGATAACAATTTTCTGTCTCACTGACATCAGAGTTGCATACAAAGAGAGGCACAATTCATGAAATCTCAATGAGCTGTGTACTAAATGCACATCACTTATAAAAAACAGGAAAAGGCGGTATTGCATAAATAAGTTTCCCAGACATAATCAATAGAGAAAGAAAAAGATAATAATACAAGTGCCAAAAAAACCCACTCATTATTTCCTGGAAAACTGTATCAAAGCTTCAACCATATTTAGATTGCCATGAATGATTAATCTTTGGAAATTCCCTCAAATAATGGTCACTACCATATGAAACAAGTATTTATTATTTAGTTGTCAAACACTATTAGGTTTATGAACACTGTTCATGGGGACAAAAGGAAACAAATGTGTTTTACTATATGTTTTTTTTTTTACAACAGAAGTAGTTAAGAAAAAGTACATTTTAACCAGTTAATCAAATAAAATTAAAAGATAATATCAAGATTAATGTTACTTTATTTTTGTTTTATTAAGCATGGCAAACAATTCAACTAAAGACATTTCTTTGCTCACAAAAAGAATAAAGTATACAAATGCACACCTGATACAGCACACACAATTTACATGCATGGTTTCACACAAGAGTCACACTCACTTTATAATGTAATAGATTCATCAATTTACTGAGACCCTATGGCTGATAGAATGACAACTAAACGTTGACCAGAAACAAATAATTTGTATGTTGACCAAATGACTAGTACTTTCTATTCCTTGCACACTGAAAACAGAGTGAAGATGCACAGGAGTTTTGGCTCATCATCAGAAAGGGACTCACAGTTGGGAAACACACAGAGACAACTGCAGCAGCTTTTACCAAGAGCCATGTGGGACGATAAATGAGAGCTAACTGAATATGAAAGAGACAGGAAACTGTGTAAAAGCAGACAAAGGTGCTCACCAAGAGCAGAATGGTCTTTGTGGCTCTGGTCTCAGGGGAGGGCCCGAGGGAGAAGTTGCTCCTATGAATATGTTTCATTCTCTGCTTGTGTCTGTAGAGGGTGCAAACCATGGAGCTGCTGGAACACAGCATCAGACCCACGAAAAACACATCAGGACTTGAGTGTAATACTGCATAGAGGATGTCACTGACTTTGTCGTTACGGACAACGGAACAGTATTCAAACTCTTTTAGACTTGTGATGTTTACGTTGCCAAATTTTCCAGTCATGTGCACAGGAAAAGCAACGTTGGCAAGAAGGGAGAGGATCCAGGTCAAACATAGGGAAGAGCCAATGTATCTGGGAGCTTGGAATTTACACTTTGCCCATGTGGAGCCCATGGGACTGATGGCAATGGCCTGGAAGACACTCAGGAAGCTTGTGCTGCTGATGGATACTGTCCTCCCCACCCTGTGAAGATAGAAAACTAGTTTGCACCCGATATCCCGGAGGAAGTCTTTCATACCGAAAGCTGCCATTGTCTGGGGCACTCCTGTACACAGCAGACTTAGGAAGTTTGCTGTAATTAAGTGCTGCAGGATATAGTCTGTGGACCTTAACCTGTACCCCAACAGATAATGGTGGAAGAGGTAGGAATTGCCCAGAATTCCAATGACAGTCTGTGCTAAGAAGATCACTCCAATAGCCACATCTGTGGTAGCCATAATGCTGGTTCTCGTGGTCTCGGCCCAAGGATCCTGCACAGGAAGATGAGGTGTGGGTTTTATGTATTCAGTCAACTCAAAAGGCTCCCTCCCCAGTTAACCCCTTTTCAATATTTCCTTCACCCTTGTTTTACTAAGAGGCTTCTAAGAGATCACCTGCTAGTGTAGGAAGCCTTTATAACTTACAAGCTCCCACTGCAGGACAGCACGTCATAACAACCTATTCAAACTCTCTGCTAGTGGTCTAGAAGGCAGGCATGACTCTAATTATATTTGTAAATTTAGAATTCCAAAGATGCTAATATTGGGTGATATGGAAGGGTGGAGTATGTAAAAAGATACATGAATCATGAAACAGTATAGAAAAGTAAATTTTTTAGATTTAATTTCATTGTAGTTCATGTGTAAGTAAGTGTGTGTGTGTGTGTGTGTGTGTGTGTGTGTGTGTGTGCACTCGCGCACACACGCATGCATGTTGGGTGGTGAATTCAACTCTGTTAAATTGAAGTAGCAAGAACCATCTTTTTTTTCATTTAAAAGGAATCCAGAATGTATTGTTCATTTGAGGGAGTAATTGTGAAAGTTGGACTGAAGTAGAATAAAGTAAAAGACCAAATATTGGATATTTATTGACTGATTTTATAATGTGATAGATTCATCAATTTACTGAGAATTGCCTGTCTGCCAAGAATTACTTCATTGACACCCGGAACAGAATGACCTGGAAAAATAGCCAAAACAACATGCTGTTGCTCTTAACAACCAGCTAGCTGCCATGTAGGCTTCTATAAAATCTCGATGGCTTGCCTGTTCCACCTTGTGGTTTGATATTGAGAACTAGACCTAAGATCAAGGGCTTGATGGAGTTATTCTGGCTTTGTTCCCCCTGGTGACATCTTCTCTCTTCGGTATTAAGGTGATTATTCCAGAATGATTCCCAAACAAGACTTTCTTGTAAATACATTGATCATTAATGTTACAGGAATCAGACAAGTTTAGTCCATGAATACATTTGTTGTACTGGCCCACTTAGAAAAACTGTTATTTAAAAAAGTTGTTCAGATGGGACAGGTTTTGTAAACAGAAAGGTTTCTCTTTTTTTCTTCCTTTGAAAACCAACAAATAGCATTATTATTTTATAGTAATAACTGATGTATAAAATGTTATTCAAAGAAATAATAAAGTGTGGTAACTGTCTGGGTTAAGCCTTTGAGAGCTCATGCTTGATAAATGGGGAAATGGAGATTTGAAAGTGTCTGAGCATGGACAGAGAACACAATGAGTCAACACCCTCACTACAAAGAGGTACATGGATTCCTCAGGCATCAACTCTGTGTTTTGTTTTTATACATTCATATGATCCTCCAACAAGCATCATTTTTACATATTTGATGGTGGGAAGTATCTTTGTGTGTGGAGATATTTATTACATAATCAGTGAACATCCAGGTATTTTAATTCAATCAGGAAGATGATGAAATAGTTCTGAAACCTGACCCATAGTAGACACTGAGCATCTGTATACAGATGGCTCTGTCCTAGGACCTAATGATTTGTCTGTGCTAATTTATATACTGAAAAGCACTTGATAGAATGATTTGATACTGTGTTCAAAGAAAGAATCTAGTTTTCACACAAATATCCAGAAATCTATGACAAGAATCTATCAGTCAACACATGCTGTGTCATAACTTAAGAAAAAAGAAGCCACATACAGTCAGAAAGTGTGAGACATGAGCAACATTATTATTGATCTGATGATATGCTTATGAACTTATTGATACCTGAGTATCTGTTTCAATGAAGCAAGACAGGTGAATAACACAACCCACAGGGCTATCATACTCACAGACATGTGTTGGCCAAGAGTTTGTTCATAAGTTGAAAACGTCTCACTTCCTTGATGTATAATAGATATGGCTTAGAACAGGGTTAGGCTCTCAGTCCTCTTGCGAAATTCAGGAAGAGAACTCCAGATGGCTCAACACACTCACCCCAACCTCTTCTACCAGACCACCACACCAGATAAGTATATATTTTCTACAATAAGGAGGATGTTTTTAGACAATTAGAAACAACATGATACTCACCTTAGTGCTGGCTTAAGAAGCATGTAATATCCATGCTAGCTTCTTTCTTAAAGATTTCTTTTCAGGCTTTCTAGAAAGGAAACAACATAATTATAATGAAAAGTGATGATAGATTCTGTCTCCATTACCTACATCATGTGTCAAAAGTTAATGGAAACTGTCTACTCAAGCAGTTTCCCTTTGCATATTTTTGTCCACAACTACAAGCTTCCTCTACATACTTTGCACCTTTTACACAATGTGTGGGGACAGCATAGGATCAAATTAGGGAACTCAGAATTCAGGGCCAGATTCCTGTAATGGAAGCTGAACAAGCAGACAAACTATGTACCTAAGTATGATAAAATACCATTTCATTGATATTTTGATGAAGCAACACCCATCATTGTGACGGACAATGTCTGTGTGTCAAGGGAAGCAGCTATCATGCATGAGTCTAAGATCACATTGTTTGTTTGTGCCTTGAACACAATTGCCAGGTTCTTCTCTGTGTCCTATGATGCTGGGCCATCTAAGCAGATTCTACCTACAGATCTTTTTTTCTCTTATAAGATCACTTACCCAAATGTCTGGCATGGTTTCCCCATCCACACTTTGATCCTCCCATGACAGTTGGAAAAACTGTCCATTCTTTTTGTCTCTGCCATGGTTTCTCTGTAGAAAAGAAGACAGTGCCTGAGATATGGGTCTGTGATTCTGTGACCACCCTTCCCCTCAGACCTGAAATTATCATTTTATTTTTAGTCGCAATTGGTACACAGGTCTGGACAAGAATGTTTCTCAGAGTCAGCTTTCTCCCCAGGTAATGGTTTTAAAAAAACAATTACAAGTTTCTTGCTAGGTTGTCTTAAGAGACTATTGCAAACTGTAAAGAGGCTCTCCATGATGATTGGAGGCAGGCTTATGTGTGTCCAGGGAAAGGAAATCCTAAAGTCTTTCTGGGACCCATCAGAGAGTTGCACACTTGCCATCCAATTTCTTACTTAACTGGGGGGTTGCTTACACAAAATCTATTTTTTTATTTCTTCTCAGTAAACACTCCACTGTTTTCTATTTTAAGGGAAAGTGAATAATGAAGCATAGCTCAGAGAAAAAGAACAGAATGCAAACGATTGGAAATACCTTTCACTATCAAGGCCTATGGAGGGAAATCAGGAGTGGTTTTTTTTTTTTGTTTTTTTTTTTTTTGTAGGGTGACCTGCATATATGAGACACAGACAGGGAAGCATGAGCTCAAGACTGATAGGACATAGAAGAAAAGGGGATAAAAGACTATGAAAATAGAGTAAGTTGGAGTGTTGTATAACTACTTTCTTAGAATTGGAGCATTTGGTCTTAGAGGAGGGAGAGACATAAAAGCCAGCAAAGTCACAAGACTAAGGAAGGATGAAGGACAGTAGTGCTTAAGAGAGTGGGGGGTGAAGAGAGAGAGCATAGTGGACTTAGCAATAAGGAAAGCAGAACTATGGGCCCTGAAGATGATGCAAGTAGACACAACCTAAAGTTAGCGTAAAATTATGAGGAGGAGATTAAGTCACTGGGAGGTGAGTGGTATGATCCAAGGAGAAATCTAACCAGTGAAAGAGCTAGACAAGTCTAAGGGCATGGTTAAGCTAAATAACCCAAGAAACTCATAGAGAAATAAGCATTGGGTGTATGGGGAGCTATATGGAGGTTAGATTAATGGAGAGGTTGGGAATGTCTCTGAGTGAAAGCTGAAATATTTCCTTCTGTTGGATGTAAATGCTCAAGAAATGTACAGAGACATCAGAAGTACAGAGTAGTCTTTGTAGATGTTTTAAGACACTCAGAAAATCAGACTGAAATTCCTAAATTAGACCAACCAAAGTGGCAGCCGTATCATACTGTGTAGTACAAAAGGGCTGGAGATATAACCTCCCAGCTTTAAAGTTATATTAAGAGTGACTATAAGATAAACAGTATGGTACTTAGATAAAAACAGACTCATTGATCATGGAACAGAATTGAGAACCTACATATAAGCCCACACTCCTAAAAGCACCTGTTTTTCTTTTTTTCTTGACAAAGACAACAATGAGCAATGTAGAAAACACATCATCAACAAATGGTGCTGCTCAGGTTGAAGAACACCATGTACCAGAATGAAAGTTGACCATTATCTACATTGTTTTGTATTTATTTGCATTAAATTTTCAACATGATGTATTTTGATGTTCCCCTCCCTCAGCACCACCAATCATCTCTCCATACCCCTACCCAGTCAACTTCATGTTCTGTCTGTCTGTCTGTCTGTCTGTCTGTCTGTCTGTCTCTCATCTGTCTCTCACTTTCTCTTTATCTGTTTCTCTCTGTCTCTCACTCTCAAAAATCAAACCCAAAATATCAAAGCAAACAACAACAAACCCAAAAGACACGTAAATATTAATCCAAAATGAAATTTTAAAAAGGCAAACAAAAGCATGGAGTACACTTGTGCTGTCCAAGTACTTCTGAGAACTTGACCTGTACTATAGTGTGGCCGATACCATTCCATTGGAGAAAACCAATTGTCCCTTTTCTGGCAGTCATCAATTGAAATCAGCTTCTGGCTCATGGACAGGACCATGTACCAACAATCCCTTAAACATGCTGGGATTCTGTCTGGCTTGGACTTGTTCAGGTCTCCTGCCTGTTGTGTTCTTTGTTAGATTCTTATCTCTCACCCTGCACAAAACTCAGTGGCAAAGGATCAAGGACCTCAACTTAAGCCATAACATCCTGAATGGGAAAGAGAAGAAAGCAGAGTAAACACTTGAATTTATAGGCACGAGAAGGGTCTTTGGGAGCAGAACTCCAAATAGCAAAGGCATTAACACAAAAAATTGACAAAAGGGTCACATGAAACTAGGTACCTGCTGTGAAACAATGAAACCATCCAGAGTGTCAAGAGACAACTCCCAGAATGAGAAAAAAAAGAAGTTTCTACCAGTCATTCGTCTGACAGATGGTTGGTATCTTGCAAAGACAGTGAACAACATAAAAAGAAAAAAAAAAAAAACTAAAGAGGAACAAAATCCAATTAAAAATTGGGCATTATATTTTTTTCTTTTTTAAATTTTTTATTTGAATTAGAAACAAAATTGTTTTACATGTCAATTCCAGTTCCCTCTCCCTCCCATTCTCCCCTGCCCCCCCCAACTAACACCCTACCTATCCCATACCCTTTCAGCTCCCCAGAGAGGGTGAAGCCATCCATATATTTGGGATAGGACCTAGGCCCATCCTGTGTGTTTAGCCTCAGGGAGAATCCCTCTATGTGGGATGGGCTCCCAAAGTCCACTCCTATGCTATGGATAAGTACTGATCTACTACATGGGGCCCCATAAATTTCCGAGGTCTCCTCACTGACATCCACATTTGTGGGGTATGGATCAGTCCCACGCTGGTTTCCCAGCCATCAGTCTGGGGACCAAGAGCTCTCCCTTGTTCAGGTCAGTTGTTTCTATGGGTTTCACCAGCCTGGTCTGGACCCCTTTCCTCATCACTCCTCTTTCTCTGCAACTGGATTACAGTTCAGTTCAGTGTTTAGCTGTGGGTGTCTGCTTCTACTTCCACAAGCTGCTGGATGAAGGCTATAGGATGGGATATAAGGTAGTCTTCAATCTCGTTATCAGGGGAGGGCATTTAAAGTAGCCTCTCCTCTGTTGCTTAGATCGTTAGTTGGTGTCATCTTTGTAGATCTCCAGACATTTCCCTAGTGCCAGAATTCTCTTTAAACCTATAATGTCTCCCTCTATTATGGTATCTCTTATCTTGCTCTCTTCTTTCTTCTCCCAACTCAAACTTCCTGCTCCCTCCTGTCCTCCTCACCCCTCTCTCCTCCCCTTCTCATTCTCCTAGCTCCCTCTCCCCTCCTCCCTCCCCCCCCAATGCTCAGGAGATCGAGACCCTTTCCCTTTCTCCAGGGAACCATGTATGTCTCTCTTGTTTCTTAGCTTCTCTGGCAGTGTGGGTTGTAGGCTGGTAATCCTTTGCTCTATGTCTAAAATCCATATATGAGTGAGTACATACCATTTTTGTCTTTTTGTGACCGGGTTACCTCACTCAGGATGGTTTCTTCCAGTTCCATCCATTTGCCTGCAAATTTCAAGATTCCATTTTTTTTTATGC